CCGCGCTCTTGTTGGCTTCCCGCTCCTTCTCCACGTTGTCCTTGGCCTTGTCGTAGGAGAAGATGCCCAAGTGGGAGAAGAAGGTCTCCAGCACGGCCTGCTCCACCGGCACCGGCGCGCCCAGCGGGATCGACTCCCCCATCCCGCCCCGCGGTGCTGGCGGTGCCGCCGCCTCCACAACGGCCACTACTTCCGGGTCTAGCGCCGCGGCCGCGTGAGGAGAGAGGCTGGTGCCGCCTCCTCTCCGCACGCCGCCCTGGTCACGTGACAAGCGAGGCGGGCGGGGAGGTGCGGGCTGGGCATCACGTGCGGGGCCGGCCGCTGCGGGGCGTGCTGCGCCCTCGGAGCCCCCAAGCTGGGGTCCGGTAGGAGGGATCGCGGCCGTGTTCGATGATGGGTCGGGTAGCTTCGTAACGCCGCTTGATGTTTTCAGGCGGGCCGTGCTGGCCCGGGTCCCTGTAACGAGATCCTCCACCCTGCCCCCTTGGTTCTCATGAAACTTAGACCTGAAGCCCGTGTTAATGCTGTTCTTCCAATTTGAAAGCTCCAAAATACAAGGCCTTGCAGGTGACCTTATTCCCATCCTTTAGCATTACCCTGATGGGACTCCTGCAGGACCCTCCAGCTTGTCCAGACTAAAGTTTCCCCTTTGAAGTTGTGACTGGGAGATCATGAATTGCCCAAATTAATGCCTTTTTTCAGATCACATTTTGGACAGACAAGCTCCCTGAACTGCGGCAAGGCAGAGGTGCAAATCTGAGCCCCAGGGCCACGAGGCTGAGGAAGGGGGCTGCGGTGGCAGCACTGACTGGTCCGACCCATGTGGAGCAGTCACCTCCCCCTTCCACTGAGCAAGGCTCACACTTGAAATGGACTGCTCCTCTCCTGGTCATTGCAGCTCTCCAGCTGCCCCAAAACATGCTGTTTCCTCTCCGGACAGTATTACCCTGCACTCACCCACACCTGCATGTTTTTACACTGACATCTAGACAGAACACAGCATCAGTTCTCAAACTCTAAGGAAGACCCATATACAAATTACACTAGCAGCCTACCTCTTGTCCAGGAAAATCAAAATACATCTTAATTTAAAACAAGCACCAGATGCAAAAAATGGCTTTAGATATGAAGCAGCCTTTTTAATTAACCTTAATGACACAAAAAGCTGCCTTCTGCCTGATGCCAACTCTACTTACTCAGCATGTCTAAGGGACAAAACGAATGTAGGTTTTTATAGCTGCTTGACTTACTCTGACCCATTTATTAAAATCGTGGTTTACTGACAGGCTATTTTGGTAATTTAAGTCAGCACCTGAAACACTGACCTGTTTCAAGGCAATCACAGCCTCAAGTAGTAGGCTGCCAATAGTTTACAGAAAATAAAGAGTAGGAAGGAGGATTCCTAGGTACCCAGGACACCTGTTTCCAAAAGACAACCACAAATCAAAGATTCAGATAAGACCTTTATTACAACACAGAGTTGATAGCACGTTTTCATATTTAAAAGAAAGTATTTGGTCTCTTGGTGGTGAAACGTGGCTTGTGCTGGCGACGCAGAACTCTGTGTGGCAGAGGGAATTTGATTTTAGAATCCTGAAAAAAAAAAATGTTTCAATGTTAATTGAAATATTAGATGACCGACAGGAAAGTCTGCAATAAATAGCTAAGCTCTATACATAAATTAGCGGTGGGATATAGAAGTAATGTACCCACAGATTAAATATACTTCATAGGAGCTAACAGATGCCTTAGTTTTGCAATTCTTTTTGAAAGAAAAGCCTCCTAAAGGCAAGTTTGTTGCAACATAATAGGTATTTGTTTTAGTTTGACTTTCTTTCAAACAGTCATAGCATTAGAAGTCTTGATCATAATGTAACAGAATTGTAAACCCATGCATGCAAGTTTGGTTTCCTCCCTATTTTTGCCTGCAAAGCAAACCTGTCCCAGACAGGAGAGCCCCCCTCTTCCAGTCCCGTGTTAGACTGGGACCCACCAGCCACCACCAAGTCACTTCACTTACATGAAACTGCTTGACTGCTGGTCTACGGCACTTGCTAGCAGCAATTTCCTCAACTTTCATGATCTGAATAGAGTGAGCACGGGCACGGTGACGGGCTCCCATATCACGGTCTGCAACACCAGAACTCATTAAAAATAAATCTTATAACATTTTCAGTTCAAAAATCTTACTACCATCTTTTCAGGAAACGTTTCTAGTACCATCTACAACTTTTAAAATTTCTGAACACAGAACCAACATGCAGCAGTAAATTCTTCCTGGAACTCATAACCAAACTCCTCCAAGAAAGTGCCATCTCATTCATCTTGCCTGATTTTTCAATAAGGTACACATGTACAGAAGTAATCTACGTGGGACTTTTGTTTTTTGCACAAGAAAACTGTGATTCTGAATCAACACTGAAATATGATTACCGGAAAGACAAGTGAACTTCAAAAAAAATTCCCTTCTAAAAGGAAGGTGCAAGTAAAGGTAGGAATTGAGGTTATCTTTACTTTTCTTCAAATTGACAAGTGATAGAAACATAAATTGGTGTTTAGCCCACATAATTACACTTTCAGAACAGGAAGAAGCCATCTGTACATGGGCTACCTGAAAATTCCTCCCTGTGGCAGTGAAAAATTACTGCCTTCAAATCACAAATATTCCAGGAGGTATGCCCTTTGAAATACTAGTGTGCTTACAATGAAGCTTCCCATGAAAATCTAACACACCTGTTAAAAAATTACCTGTCCAAAATATTCTTGACCATAAAGGTATCAAAGTCATTGTATCATGACAAATTAAGTTCTCAGGTCTCTTAAGCAGTCCTTCAGTATATTAATTAACAGGAATTATTGTAAGTTAATGTAGAACCTTACATTTCACTTTCAACAGCACTTCAGCTTTTGAAAGGCGACAAGATACACACTTAATATCTGCACACATGACAAGAATATTATTATTAAAAACAATATTCTTTGGGTTTTTATGTGCATTCTGTAGTGTTTATTAACACTTATGGATTAAATTTCAACAGCATTAGCTATACTAATGGTCAATCCCTCAAGTACTTCATATAACAGACTGAGATCAGGACAACCTTTCATTCTCCCTGAACGAGGCAATGACATCTTGGAGTAACACAGACTTTTTTCCTCTGTGATTTCTGTTGGTTTTGGGTTTTTTTTACCACCTCCCTGAAGGTCGGATGTTAGTATGTTCCACACGATAGCTGAAATATTCTCTCCATGAGACTTGGGATGATACACTCAATTATTTTAAAACAATAAAGTGCAAGAAACATGCACCTGAAAGGTCTTGAAACTCTCAGTCTGTATAGCGAAACTCATTACTAGAATAGTACAAAGTCACACCAAAATGAAGTGGGAATATTTTCAGCTAGAGAAACTGCATAAAGAGTAGTAACAAATAAGATACCACATATATCATAAACAAACATTATGGACTTCTCCAGGAACTCCCCACTTAAGTTTTCCAGTGTTTCAATTATCTTATCATGGATCGAGTCAGCATACTTCATGCCCAGTTTAAGATTTAATCTTGTGCTTATATACTAGTCTTACCGTTTTGTACCTCAAAGTTACATGTACTTACAGCACTGAGTGACAGCACCAGCCGTGGTCAAATCCCTGTATTCCCTGTACATGTTGTGAGTTCCGCTACGAGAATCATAGCGCAACCAAATACCAAAATTTTTGACCCGCAGAGGGGACTTCTCATAGACCTGGAATTACACAAGAACATGAAAGTAGTTAGAGATGGTACATCACCAGCATTTTACAAGTTTAAGAATAAATATTTTAGAGCTTGCATGAAACCACTGTGTTGTTTTATTGCCAAGAACAACTATCTGCTCTCTTTCACCACACCAACATAGCTCCATTCAAGTCTTGGTAATTCAGAATTAAGAGTTTAGAAATTCACCTTGGAAAGAAAAATACACAAAGAATTTCCGCTCTAAAGAATGTCCTTTAAGTACCAAGGTATAAAACTATAAGCATACAAGTATCTACTTTACAAGGATGATGAATGTCCAGATGGCTCTTAGAAGGTATATTCCACATTGAAAGAAGCAGAAGAACCAGACAGCAGCACTTACTAGTGGCACAGTTCATAAATGAAGTACTGAGAAGTAAGTTTCTTTTTAGTTTACTGGACATATACTGCCATTTTGAAAAAACGAATTTGCCACTCAGCTTCACAGCGACTGAAGAATAAATGAATTGCAACCTCACCCCCAACAACACCATTTCATATAAATTCCTTCCACATATACCAGCTAGAATTCTTCACAAATCTCACGCTTTTTTTTAATTCCACACCTGGCCACAGTACACAATCTCTCCAGAAGACTTCTTCATCTTCTTCAGCTGAGAAACGAAGTACCAGAACCGGGACTTGGCGACAACATGGTTCGGAGCGAAGATCCGCATGCGGTAGAGAGGGGGGGTCGTGCATTTCGGCGTGGGCAGGCATCGCCCGACCACCTTGTACTCCCGCAGCTGGAGGAAGACAGAAGACAGGCCGCCCGCAGCGTGAGCCCCTCCGCGCCGCCGGCCCAGCCGCCGCGGAGC